TGCCGAGATTCACGCCACCTGCCATGGGCTGGCCCGCAGGGACAGGTATTGTCGGAGGGCATTGGGACACCGGCCCGGCACAGTCCTGTCCGTGGAATACAGGTACAGCCCCAGACCCGCGGGAGTTCCTGGGGAGGGGAGGGGCCTGGGGGGTTCTGAGAAGGCATAATCCGGGAATAGGGCTGGCCTGGCCTTGGGAGCCCGGGCGGGGCTCCAGCAGTCCGAGGGAGGGGGCCGGGCTGCCTGCCTCCCGTCCTCCCTGCCTCCGAGTCAGGGAGGTGACTTTGGCTGAAACACCGCTTTGATCGTGCCATTTGCTGGCTCAGAAGCGTTCCCTGCTCTTGCTGCCTCTCCTGTAACAGCCAAGTTCTCTGTAATTGGCCCTAACGTACAGTTATCGTACTGGATGGCTCGGGAGGTCATGCACAAGCCCGAGTCTGTGATTATATAATTTCGCCGTAATAGTTTTACTTTCCACAATTTTCCTGCGCGCCTGGTTTTTCAGCCTCCTGACTGTGCCGGTATTGCACCGTTCTCCGGGAATGCACGTGGTTGCCCTCCCCTGTTAAACTTCACCTTTCTTCAAGTTTTCTGTGAAAAACATCACATCCCTTCAGACCAAAGTACTCCCTTTCTGTTGGTCTCTGAGCGTTCAGAGCGCTTGCTCTGCGCAGGGTTCGTTTGGTAGACGGCCACATGCCCCCTCGGCACGCTCTCCTGTGATTGGAGCCTTGTGTTGCGTGTGCAGTGGACAAGGACAGAAAAACGTGCGCGAAACACAATCGCGCTCAGTGGTAACGCGGCTCTCTTTTTCTTTGAATGTCTTCCAGTGCGCTTTTATTTTTACAGAAATCGGAATTTCTTGTGAGGTGCTTCTAAAATCGTTACATCTCAGAGCATTTAACTAACAAGCCCGGCTTGGCTTCAGGTGTCTCAGTGTTCTGGAAGGGTTCCCACCGTGCCTCGTTCATGGCAGGGGTTTATGTGACCAACAGCAGATGTACACACTTAATAAGCTATGAGGTAATTATGTCCCACATTTGAAACAGAGGTACTCGGGGCAGGGTGGGGGGGGCCTTGTGTTCTGTCCTCACATACTGATTCTTACACAGCGTGCTCTTTCTTTGTTGTTTGTGCTGTGTGCGTGTGCCACACCACCCACACTAGCTACGTTGTAGGCTTCTGATGACGGGAACCGCACCTCGTTTCCGTTTCCGTCTTCCATGGGGCGCCTTGCAGATAGTTAGCGCCCTCGCCCCTTTGACTCATGTGAAGTAGAAACGTCACACGTGGGTCTGTTTTACGGGACTGCAGACCTGTGACCAGGACTACGTCCGAAGACCTGAACTTGCTTGCAAGTCCTTATCGGATTTCCCATGAACACATTTTTAAATAAGTGTTTTGGGATGCTTTCAGTTCAGTCATCATTGCATACGTAAGAATTATGAGAAAGGGTGTTTTCTAATGAGGCAGCTTATTTTTTTCTGATGTTTCTTATGAGGTAACTTCAAGGATCTAAGTGCATCATTAACAACATCTTTGTATGGGGCCAGTCACTACAAAAAGAGTATTCTTTAGATGGGAAGTGAAGGTAACTTAGTATTTGTTCTAACACTCGTATTTGAGGCTGCTGTAAAATACACCCATTTTCCTTCGACGAATTTGTAAGCGGTGGGTCCTGCATACATGTCACTTAGCAATGAAAACTCTGCTGGTGGAAAGTGTCTTTCATGGCGTAGCTCGTAAGCTTCTGGGAGGAACTGCGTCTCAAGGCATCTTGGGTCTAAAAGAACCTAAGAAGCAGCCTGTCTGTTCCCTGACGTCTTGTCTGTGTCCTTCTGTCTCTCTCTCTCGCTCTTGCTCTCTCTCTGCCTCTCTCTCTCTCTCTCTCTCTATCTCTCTCTCTCTCCCTCTCTCTCTCTCTCTCATTTATAGCTCAGAAGCTCAGGTGCATTTAGGTCATGCTCTGCCCCAGGTAGCTCAAGGAGCCACCGAGAATCTCTGTGTCTTCTCCTCTATATTCAGCCCCTCTTCTCCTGTGTGATTTTAAGGGGACCTTCACAGAATTCAAGGGTCCCCAATAGTTTGCATCTGCCACATTTTGGAATTATCCAAACTATGGGTCAGTGATTTCTTTTAAAACCTTTTCCCTTAAAAAACAAACAAACCTCTAAACGCAATTATGGTACTTGGAAGAGGCGACCCTGCCGGGAAGAAGGCACAGTCGCTTTATATTACATTATGTGTGAGCAGCTTTTCCCGTTTCTTCCCGGAAGCGAGGGGAGCCCGCGGCGCCTGGGGGAGAGACACCGTGGGAAAGCTCCCAGTGCCGGGCGGGCTGGTGCCTTGGACGCCTCCCCGTTCAGGGTTGGGTGGGCAGCCAGAGGGCAGTGTGGGCGCATCAGACCCCTGGTCTCACACACACACACACACACACGCACGCACACACTCTGGGCCGTGTTCACAGCCTCCCCACAAAACCCGGAGGATGCAGGTTTGGACGGTGTGCAGAAATGGTTGGAGAGAGACGGCGTTCACAGGGGTGCAGGGGCTCAAGCCTTTTACTAAAAATGCAACAAATAAAAACGGAGGAAAGACGAAATAAGCTAAAACCCTAAAAGGAGCACATTGAAAAGCAAGAATACATAAAAAGTATCTTTAGTAATCAAATACCATGTGGCCTTCCACCCCTCCGCCCCCCCCCCCCTCACTTCAGTGTAGAATACGGGTTTTCGGGAGCAGAAACTGCTTCCGTGCCTGGGGAGGTTCTGAAAGGCTGCTGCTCCAGCAGCTGCTGTCGGTGCCGTGTTGATTCCCGATGCGCCACGGAACCGTACTATCCAGTCACTCGAAACGGTTGATTCATAACTTTGCCTCTTTCTCTAGTTTAGACTCTTGCATCGATCTCCAAGACAGCTTTCCTAAACCGTGAAACAGCCATTGAGAGGGTTCAGTGTTGCTTGTCTTCCCAGAGTAACCTGAATGAGCTGCGTTGGCTTATTATATCGATAGACGATTCCTCAGGCCTTCGCCGAAAGCGAGCCTCCGCCCTTTGGAGAGCTGGAGCAGCGAAGCGCCGGAACCTGTGGGCGCCGAGGGTGCACGGCCGGGTCCTCGTCTCCGGCTCTGGGCCCCTGTGCGCCACCTTACCATGGCGTCGGCCTCCTTGGGCTTGTCACTCAACAGATGTGGGTGGACCCCAAGTACGTCCTATGCCCCATAGTTTCTGGGTGCCGGGGACACAGCCGCGGACAAAACAGGCAAAACCTCTGCTCGCTGGGAGCTCACCTTCTGGGGGAGGGAGACAGACCGTAAACACACACACACACACACACACACACACACAGTCAGCTGTATGAAAGTGCCACAGAGAACACTGGAATGGCGCAGAGGGGACGGCAGAGCTGGAAGAAGGGAGGGGAGTGATTGTGAGTGGCACAGTCATGGCAGGTCTCACTGAAAAGGTGGGCTTGAACAAGGCATTGAAGGAGGTGGTGTGAGGAGTGTGCATGCCAGGCCGAGGGAGCCGCTGGCATACAGGCTGCTGTGGGCTGGAAGTGTGCTGGGTGGGCTCAGACCCCCCCAAAAAAGGGAGAAAGGAGTTCAGCGTGGCTGGACCTCTCCCGTGAATGACGTGGAGTGTAGTGGAGGGCGGGGTCCGTTGAGGAGGGCCTTGTGGGCCACTGAAGGACCTGGACCTTTACCGTGGGGCGCATGGTGTTGCAGGGCGGCATAGAGCTTTGGGCAGGAGAGTGGCCGGACCCCCTGTTAAGCATCCCTCTGGCTTCCGTGTTGAGAACAGGCATTCGGTGTGAAAGCGGAGGCCAGAGACTCAGCGATTCCAGAGCGAAGCGAGAGGTTGCGGCAGTGTGGACCAAGGTGGCAACAACGGGAGTGGTGGAAAGATGGTGGATGTTGAGCACATTTTAAGGAGGAGCATCAGCAGCATTTGCTGATGGCCAGTATGGAGCATGAGAGAAAGAGGAACCAATCATTTGGGCTTAAGCACTTGGACACGCGGGATTAAGAAGGGGAAGACCGGGGGTGGAGTCTGGATGTAGCGTGTTCAGTGTGAGCGCCCATTGGGACACCCAGGTGGAGACATGGAGTGGTCAGAGACGTGCATGAGTCTGGAGTCGGGAGGTAGGTCCAAGCAGGCATTGTCCCAGGAGAGGTGTCGGAATAGCGTGGAATTCGAGGCAAGGGGACGGGACAGTGTCGCAGAGCGTTGGGGGTCCGGAGGCAGACCATGGCAGACTACCCGGGACCGCCACGCATTTGCTGAGTCACTTTGGGAAATCCATTTAGCTTCTCTGAGACTCAGGCTCTCTGTCTGTAAAATGAAAAGATAGCGGTAACCACTTCACAGAGTTAAAATTAATTAGAATCAGTAATATCTGTAAAGCACCTGGAACATGGCATCTGCTTAACAGCTGCTAACTGTTCATTTTCAGCACAACTATTCTGTACACCTGCAGACGCCCCTGAATACTGGCGTTGGCCCATGTTGTCACCAATGCAGCAATGTGGTCTTTCTCCCCGTGGTGTTAACTGTGTCTTTGGTTCCTGACTGTTCACTGGGTCTAGGAGTTCCACCGAGTTGGTTTTGCTTCCAGAACCAAACTGACCTGGATTTATTTATTTATTTGGAGAGATTTTTTAAAAAAAGATTTTATTTATTTTTAGAAAGTGGGGAGGGGAGGGAGAAAGAGAGGGAGAGAAACATCCATGTGTGGTTGCCTCTCACACGCCCCCTACTGGGACCTGGCCCACAACCCAGGCACGTGCCCTGACTGGGAATCGAACCTGCGACTCTTTGGTTCACAGGCTGGCACTCCATCTGCTGAGCCACACCAGCCAGGGCTGCCTTGGGGTTTTGACGGGAGCTCTGCCTCAGCTGTTGATACATTTTCCAGGCCTGTGTGTGTGTCAGTGTCTGTTACTTGTTTGGGAAAAGCCTTACTGGTGTCTTCAGTGCTGCTCTCCTTTGCTTTCCTCAGTGCTCAGCAGAGGAGCAGTCAGGTTCACAAGAAAAACACGATTGGAAACCAGGTAGGACTCGCTCCAAGAATCAGTACGTGCATGCGCCCAAGAGTTTCTGCTTGACTGCCTATTTTTTTTTAATGCAAATTAACCGTGTGCAAATTTTGTTGGAAATGCAGCTTTCCGTTTTGCTTTGTTTTGGCTTTGAAAGTTTTTAGAGCAAATCGTATTTTTTTTTTCTTTTGCTCTATGATGCAGTTAACCTGATTGATTTATTTTCAGTAACTTTTCTGCTATTTGCTCTGCTTTTCCAAGCTGACTCCTTGTGTCCTACTTTGCTTGCTTACACTGCCAGCCAATTTGATTTAGCCTCAGAGCTGGGAGTCAGTGCAAGGGTAAAGTACGGCGAGTAGCTGCACGAGCTCCCCGGCGCTGCTGACTAGTTCACACGTTCGCACAGCTTGGTAACAGTGAAGGGCTCCCCGGGAGGGCGGCTCTGGCATTCCGTTGCTGCCGCACCAAATTCCCGTTGGTTAACGAAGACGTTAATTCCTCAGAAGAGCTGACCTTTTGAGCTTCTGCGTTTTGGGCTGACCCCGCTGTCTCTGACTAATAGTGCTCTCCAGAGATCGCATTAACTCCGACAGTCTGCTGTTGCGTTTACGTCTGATGTGATAATGAATATTTGCATTGTTATTTCTTTTCGAGTCAAAACAATGATGACTTTTTTGTTCTTTTCAATTCAGAGGTACAATTATTGAACAAATTGAAACCTCTGCTCTAGATCTTTTTTTTTCCATTGTTTTGAAAGGAGAAGAGGTAATAACAGACTTGATTTTAAAAACTTTTTTTTTCTGAACTAAAGCATATAATTCTTTGCTATTTCAGGGAACCAATCTTCCGCCTTCAAGGCAAATTGTACGAGCTAAGTTCTGTAAGCTTTACTGTTGCTTTTCATCCAGCTTCCCACGGCACAGTTTGTCTTTTAACTGATTAACTCAACTAGCGCTTGCTACTAATTTTTTAAAAATGTAGGTTGTCTTGTCCGTAACACCTTATCATTGAAGTAAAAATCCTCCTAAGAGGGTTCATCCCTTCACTGCTAATAACTTGCTGTGATGGAAAGGTATGAACTAGTAAACTCTAAAACGCTGTAGTAATAAACCCGTAACATCGTGGGTGCTTTGATATTTCTCTAACTTTAATGGGCCTTAAAATAATTAAAACCATTAATGATCTCCGTCTCTGTCCTTTTATGCTGTGTTGTTACATGGTGTATGCTTTTGTATGATACTGTTTCCAATACATGTCGATGATGCTTCTGAAAGGTGGGTGAATATTGAACAGCTGACTTGTTGTATTTGTCGATGAGCCTTCCCAAGTCCAACGATGTGTATTTGTTTTTAAAGGAATAAAACAAACACAAAATTACGTCGATTGCAGTTTTACATGGCTTTACGGTTGAATCTGTTCGAAACAGGTACCCTATGTTCATTTCATGGAAGTGTAAAGGTACCGTGACATGACTGGCATTGCCACTCCTTTTGGAATGATTACACTCTCACTCCCACGTGGATGAAGCAGTCTTCAAGTCCTCCTCCCAGCCGTGCCCGAGTGGGGGGTGAGGTTGGAGCAGGGCCACGTATCTGCCCCCTGTCGTTTTGGACGAAACAGACTTGGGAGGTAGACATCCTTTAGTTTGGTTTCTGATCTGCCACTCAGTAGCCATACAGCCTGGGGCCAACGGAGCCTGAACTGGCTCAGCTGTGTCGCAGGAAGAGTAGGAAACGTCTCTGCAGGGCGGTGGCGAGGATCTGGTAGAATGTCCACCGTGAGGTTTGCCGCTGGGTGCTGGCTGCGCACACGGGCGTGCCCTGGGAAGAGCAGACACCTTGCTCCCAGCTCCCAGCTCCCAGCAGGTAGGTGCTGCTGCTGGAGACTTTTGGGAGAAAGCACGTCAAGTATAAGAAAATAATAAAAGTTATGAAACGAGAAAAATGAAACACTTTGGAAAATCAGAAGCTCTGACAAATTACTCAGAAGATCGCAATGTCCAAATTAAGGCTGGGCGTGATGTGAAGCAGTGGTCCCCACCCTTTTCCCACAGGCCCAGGGGACGGGGGACAGGAGGCAGAGCTCGGGCCATGGTGGGAGCAAAGAAGCTTCACTGGCTCCCTGGCCGCTCACCTCCGGCTGTGCGGCCGGTTCCTCCCGGGCCACGGACAAGCACCAGTCCGCCGCCCTAGTGGCTGGGGACCCTTCATGTAAAGGATTTGCCCGTAAAACTTGCCTTGTGGTCAGAAGCATCTCTAGCTCGAGGAAGTGTATCTTTATTGGAAAAGCAATAATATAAGGGCACAAACGCATACTTTAAATCAGATCTGAAGGAAAACTCTGAACCAGTTTTCAATTATATTACTTCCAAATGCTCACATCATGCTAATGTGTTTTTGTGACTTTACTTTTGCTGAGTACTTCAAAGCCCACACATATGAAAGTTTTATAACTCCAAAGATAATAGAATTGGGTGAGTGTTTTAATAGGATACAGATACTTTATCCAAACCCCTTGGGTCTTGTTGTGCCTTGAAGGGCAGAATGTTTTGGATTTTAGAAAAACACCGCATTGCATACACTGCACAGTACCCGACATTGCTGTGGGGTCAGAGGCAGCACCCTGTAATTAAACACATTATTTTTCTGCAGTGAAACAAGTGAATAGTTACACCAGATCGAGTCAATGAAAGATATAAATACTTTCATGGCGAGTCAGGTTTTGCTGCCAGATTTATTTAAAACAAAAACTTTTAATTTGCAAGTGATGGATTATGAACCCAGATGTCTTATTTTTCTAGAATCAAATACAACAATTAAGTGCACTAGAGTATAGTTGAAGGAGTCCTTTCTTGTTTTGTTTTGTTTTTCCTTTGTAGCAGAAATGAGCCATGATGACTTGAAACCATTTTCTGTATGAATCTGAGTATCTGATGTTGGTTTGGTTTGCATTAAAGCAGCTTTGCCGGTCAGGAGGCCCAGAGCCAGGGAGCCCCGGGGCCCCGCCTGCTGGCAGATGCCGGCTTTCATGGTCGGTGGCCTGAGAATCCTACAGGATCCCAGCAAGCGGCCCATCCACCCTAACACCCTTGTAAGGCCCCTGGCTGTAAGAGATTGCCGTGCAGGGTCTGTACTGAAGTATGTTAGAAGGATTTAAGGAGGGTGAAACTCTTTGAAGTCTAAATTCCATTTGCTGTTATCTGCCTAGAAATTTCCTTAGAAGTTTTACGAGTTGATGTCGGCAAATGCACGGAGATGTTGTGGGCACACAGTCAGCCTCAGGTTGGGCTGATGGGGAATTTAAAGTGAAGCGTAGACTCCAGTCATCTCCTCACTCATCACACGTGTGCCAACTCTGTGGCAGGGGTGTGTGCGAATGAGCAGACCCCAGCTCTGGCCTCAGGGAGCTCCCGGCCCAGCGGGCGTGCCGGAAGGAAGCAGATTGAAGGCTGCCTCTGTTTCCCAGGCCGGTTCCTCCTGCTCCCGCAGCTCACACTGAAATGCCATCCCCATGAGGGGCTGGCCCTGAGCGTTCACACCTGAAGTCGCCACCCCCCGTCCTGCCCCAATGTCTTGCTATTTAGCTTATTTGCTATTTTTCATCTTACTTACTTCTCTGGGACCTGAGCTCCACTCAAGATACTTGTACGGTGTTGACAGCAGCAGAATATCGCTGTAAAGGTTTAGGCTTGATCCTGTGAACGTTTTAGAAAGCTTATTCTGCCTCTAGTGTGGGGAGAGATGGGACGTCGGGACAAGGCCAGAAAAAGGAGACTGGACAGGAGGTGAGGGTGGGCTGGGCCAGGCTGTCTCCGCTGGGCCCGCGGAGAAGCTGGTGAGCTGGGAGATTAAGGAGGAAGAGTGCGAAGGACTTGTCACGAGCTGCTGCATGTTGGGCAGACGTCGGGGGCCATGAGCAGCGCTGTCCTGGCGTCTGAGCTAGGTGCCGGTGAGACGGCGGTGCGCTTCACGGGAAAGGGAACGTCGTGAAAAATCCCGGCTTGGCCTCAGCTGGGGGTTTGTTGAATCCGAGTTGCGGTGGGGGATCGGAGTAAACATGACCGGTGGGAAGTCGTGTACAAGTGTCTAGGGTTCCCAAGAGACAGAAGCGAGTCCAAAGGGGGCAGGGAGCCCGGAAGGGTTTCCAGTAGAGGAGGGAGGCCGTCTGATGTGTGTGTTACAAAGACCTGTGCATCAGCCCTATGAGTAAAACTACAGATATGGAAATGGGGACTTTTGAAGTGATTCAGGTAGGAAGATCCAAATGTTCATGGCAGGAGTTTATTGATTTGGGAGCGTTAAATCACCCTCCCGGGCTACGGCTCAGGGGCCCACCGTCGGGAGTGCGGATGAAGGAGGAGCAAGTTTCAGGGACAACGGGAGAAAAAGGTGGTGACCTCAGTTTCGGATATATTTTTTGTGCCCAGTGGTGACATCGGTAGAGTCTGAAGTTCAAGACTTGTCTAGCCTGGAGATGGGCATTTCACAGTTGTCATTCGTACACTTGGTTGCTGAAGCCACGGGAGTGGATGAGATCCCTTCCAGAGGAAGAGGGCATAGGAGGAAGTCTGGGATCCAGAGGATGATGGAGGTGGAAGAGTTCAGAAAGACGAGAAGCTGCAAAGGAGTCTGGGAAGCGATGGGAGAGGCAGGAAAACATGGCGAGTAGTAGAGTGAATGCCAAGGGAGGAGCGAGAACATTTCAAGGAGGGAACGGTCCGATAGTATTAGGTGTTTCCGGGAGCTCAGGAAACAGGTGGGAAGTGCTCCCAGAGGCGCGCTGGTGGAAGGTCCCGTGCAGCGCTGGGGACTGAGCTTACATCAGTCCCCTTGGTCTCGAGGATTGTTCTTCTTCTCTACAGCTGGAAGGCAGCAGACCAAGAAATTGGTGTCCTGAGCTGGCTATCAATGGAAATTTGTATCAGTCTCCAGGGAAGGAGCCTGTAAGGTCAAGAGAGCAGATGAGTTGAAATTTTGAAGAGAGACAGGTTGAAGTAAGTAAAGGATTGTGTAATCTGCCGTGAATGGTTTTGTTCGATGTATGAGTGAGGATGGTTCGGCCAGGTAACAAACAGCCCCAGAATTTCCATTGCCTACTCTAACATCGGTTTAACTCCACCTGCCCTGACCCTCCAGGGAAGGTCATCGAGCTGGGGCAGCCCTGGCGCACGTGGTCAGGCAGGGGCTCTGGGATTCCTTCATTCTTCCGGCAGGTGGGGGAGAGGGGGAAGCATGAGTGAGGGAGGTCGTCAGGGACCAGCCCAGCAGTGACACCCCACGTTCCTGTCCATCCCAACGATGTCACTCAGTCGTTCGGCCCCACCTAACTGAAGGGAACGGGACTGTAACCTGAGCTCACGCCCAGGCACGAGAAAATACAAAAGGTGGTGTTGACCGAAAGTGGAAAGGAAGTGGGCAAGTCAGGACACGGACACGGGGGACAGGGGGACGGGTGTTCACTGAAATTAGAGGAGTACATAGTGGGATTAAGGCAAAGAGGGGGCAGGGTTGGCGGTGTCGGAGGCAAGGGTGTGACACCCACCTGAGCGTCAGAGACGCTCCTGGGATGAGAGGGAGCAGCCAGTGCAGGAGGGGCAGCAAGTGGTAGCTGCGGGCGTTCACGGAACATTGTTGGTCTTCAGGGAAACGGGGATGGAATTTCTGGACTTGAATACGTCAAGGGCTGGGCTGTCCCCAGACCGGGAGGACTGACGTGCCATTTCCATGACGGGTCCTCCGCTTCTTCATCTGTGAGACCCGGGGGAGGGAGGCCCAGCCGCCGCGCTCCCGGGCCCAGACTGCGTCTGGCCGCATTCGCACAGCCGGGAGGCTTTTTCCGCAGCTGGGGGCGGAGCAGGCGCTTGC